AATACTGCCATTTGCAACAACATGGATGGACCTCGAGAGAATAATATTAAGTGAAACGAGTGAGGCAGAGAAAAAGAAGTACCACATGTTCTCACTTATTGGTGGGAGCTAAAAATACACAAATAAATTCACTCACACACACACACACACACACAAAGCCGGGGCGGGGGGAGAAGATATAAAAACTGCAATTTCTTTGAAGGTGTTACAACAAGCAAACGGAAAGGACATTCTTGGGTGGGAGGGGGGAGAGGGAGGAGGGAGGGAGGTTTCGGTGATGGGTCATAATAATCAACCACATTGTATATTGACAAAATAAAAAAGTTATTTAAAAAAATTAAATAAATAAAATAAAATATACAGGTCTTAAAGGGAATTAACACATGGCTAGAAAATACCACATAACCTGAGGTTTTGGTTTACTTGTAGCATGAATTATCTATTACTCCTAGAGGAGTAAGATCGACTTTATTTCGTGTCTATTATGGGCTGGATATGGTGAAGGAAACTATCCTTGCTGGGTTGTAACATTACATTTTTTTTTCATAGTCTGTAATAATCTAAACCTTTATTATAAAACTTCCTTCTTTTTGTTTATTCTTCAGATGTAAAAGTAAAAGATTTGTTTAAGAACATCACCAAGTTAACTGAAGAGCTTCGATCTTCTGTCCACATCTCAGATGAAACTATCCATAGTATTTTGGAAGCAGATATCTCCCATTCAAAGGTATGGGGCAGCTTCCTGTGCATTACGGTCAGCCTGAGGCTATTGGCGTGATGTCGTCCTTTCTCCCTCCTTCTCTCACTCCATGGCTGGGTGATAACAGCTGGAGACAAAGGAAATGAGAGAACAAGCAAAGAACCAAAGGGTATCGTTGCCCCATACCAAAATCCTTGGGGTCTTTAATTTTACAATATTATCTTCATTTGGGGTTAGAAAGGATAAAATTGGTGATTATATTTATTCTGGTGATTCCTAACCCTGATGCATGACACCCCAGGGGGTCTCTGCTTGGTTCAGTAGGTGTTGCAAAATTTAAAAATTCCAAAACTAAAAATAACTAAAAATATCTAAAAATGTACTCTGATTTTTCTCAAGTGGAGAATGACTGTGTACAGTCTGACTGTGTGCTACAGTAGTGGCTCCCTGTGAAGCCAAATGAGTCATGACAGGCGGCGTCATCTCCAGGGCTGTTGACAAGTGCTGGTGAAGGCAACCGAAAAAATATTATAGAGCATTTGCAGCAAATCAAGGGATAAGTCACACGTGCTTGATGGCCCTGGGATGATGTTTGTCCATGGTAGAGGGGACAGGTAAATTTCATGTCAGCCACCACAGACATGGATTCTTAGTAGGTGCTTTTCTGAGACATCCTTTCATCATTCCATTTGGGGTTTTACCTTCCTGTACAGAGAACCTTCCAGAAGTAGTAACCATGAAACTGGCTCACGAGTGAACATTTCAATTGACAGTCAACTGGGCCCTAATATACATTTAATTTCATGTCAATTCTGGTTAATTGGAGTTAAAAGCAAGCTAGAAGGGTAGATTAATTAAGAATTAATCTAAATTAAGAATGAAATAGATTAGAAACTAGGAATCTAGGGCCAGCCCGTGGCTCACTCGGGAGAGTGCGGTGCTGATAACACGAAGGCCACGGGTTCGGATCCC